CTATATTAGTTTGCAGTCCTACCAACAGTGTGTAAATATTCCTTTCTCTCCACATCCATGCCAGCATCTGTTGTTTTGGGACTGTCTGATAAAAACCATTCTCACTGGAGTTAAGTGATATCTCATTATAGTTTTGATTTGCATTTCCCTGATGATTAATGATGTTGAGTATTTTTTCATATGTTTATTGGCCATTAGTTTATCTTTTTTCAGAGGCTTCTGTTCATGTATTTTGCCCACTTTTTAATGGGGTTGTTTCATGTTTTCTTGCTGATTTGCTTGAGTTCTTTGTAGATTGTGGTTCTTAGTAAGCTTTATCAGATGTACAGCATGCAAATATTTTCTCCCATTCTGTAGATTGTCTATTTGCTCTATTGTTTCCTTGGCTGTGTAGAAGCTTTTTAATGTAATCATGTCCCTTTTTATTTTAAATTGATGTGATTACTTTTGAGGTTGTCTTCATAAATTCTTTGCCTAGACTGATATCTATAAGAGTTTTTCCAACTTCTTCTAGAATTCTTATAATTTCATGTCTTCATTTTAAGTCTGTTTTTTTATAAATTTAAGAACTTTCATATAATTGGTTCCTACATCCTTGAAACATTGGAATTATTGTTAGTATTCTAATTTTATACATGATAAGCCTGAGTCTCAGAAGTTAGACAGTTACAGGATCCCAGAGCCAGCACACTGAAGGGCTGATGGGCCATGCATCTCTAGGCCCTGCTGTGGCAAAGCCAAGGATGCCAGCTTAAGGAATCACATGTATATGAGAGCACTTTTAAACAGCACAGTGTCAAATGCATATTGTGTTATTTTTTTAGAGACCGAGTTTCACTCTATCGCCTTGGCTAGAGTGCCGTGGCATCAGCCTAGCTCACAGCAACCTCAAACTCCTGAGCTCAAGCGTTCCTCTGGCCTCAGCCTCCCGAGTAGCTGGGACTACAGGCATGTGCCACACCACCTGGCTAATTTTTTTTTCCTATTTTTAGTAGAGATGGGGTCTCACTCTTACTCAGGTTGGTCTCAAACTTGTGAGCTCAAGTGATCCTCCTGCCTCGGCCTCCCAAAGTGCTAGGATTACAAGCATAAGCCACCGGACCTGGCCTCATGATGTATTACGTTCCTTGGATATCCAGTTTACCTTATGTTGGAATCTAAATCTCTCTCTCTATCTTTTTCTGGAAACTTTTTGAAAACTTCACAAATCCCATATCTAATTTTCTGGCCTCTTGATAATCTTACTTTTTGTAAATTACCAGTAGAACACTCTGCGTAAATCCACAGCTCTATAAAGATTTCACTATTAACAAGAACAATAAAACTCAACCAACTAGCCAGTAGGGCAAGGAAACTGAAAGAAATAAGAAACACAAGCCTGAGCCACATCAAATGTGGAGTCTAAATTTAAACTGTGTATGTCTTGGAAAAAAACATTTAACCCGAGAAATAAGCATAAGCAAAAAACCTGCTCTAGAACAAGTGAAATGCTTACACCCATGCCAGTTATAAGTGCTAATACTATCTCCACAGTCCCTTCCACAAGCCAGTACCCATGGGATTTGCCCAGAAGACAATGCATGCCAAAACAATACATGTTGGACATGCACATTGACATCCCCCAAAAAATGAATAAAAAAACTGTTATAAAACTATAAAATAAACATGTTTAAAATATATAGAAATGTGAAATGATATAATAACCATAAAGGATGAAATATCTGTGGAAAACAAATAACAGAAGGGTTTGAGAAAGAACAGAGTATTGCTAAGCTCAACATGAAGAATATTGCCATTAAAATTAAAACACTATAGATAACAGTATATTAGATGCAGCCAAAGAAAAAAGTATTTAATTGGAAAATAGATCTGAGAATATCACAGATAAAAAGAAAATATGAAGGAGGCTAATGTGGAAGACACAATGAGAAGGTCCACATTGCTAATAGGAGTTCAAAAAGAAAAAGTAACAAGAATGGAATAGGCATGATATTTGAAGAAACAATGGCTAAAAACATTTTAGAACTGAAGCAATACTTACATCTTCAAATTGAATAAGGACATTGAATCCTGAACAAGAGAAATTAAAATCAGTCTACACCTAGGTACATCATAATGAAACTGCAGGCATCAAATAGAGAAAAAATTTTTAAGTTACCAGAGAGAAAATGCAGGTTACCTATGGGAGATTGACAATTAGACTAACAGAAAATTCCCCCAAATTTGCCACACGTAAGGCCCAGATGTAGTGGAATACTATCTTCAAAGTACTGAAGGAAATTACCTGTCAAGCTAGAAATCTATACCTTTTTAAACTATCATCCAAGAATGAAGATGCAATAACATTTTCAGACAAAATGAGACCAGAAGACTTGAACATGTAGCAAGAGATCACTGCTGAAAGAATTACTAAAAAATATTCTTATATAAGTAAAAAAAAATTGAACTCAGAGGAGTGAAGTGCAAGAAGTGATGGTGGTCAAAGAAACACCTGGGTAAATCTAAACAGACGTGGAGTGTGTATGTATGAGAGAGAGAAACTATTTTGAAAGCAAGCTGAATTTTAAATATTAAAGAACAGTAACAGGAAGATGGGAAGCAGTAGACTAAAGATAAAAATATTCTGAATATTTTCTGTTTGTCATGGGGGAAAGCTATTGATTAGATCTGTAACTATGCAAGTCCATAACTTAAGAATAATTATTTAAAGTATAAAAATATAGTGTATACTTTGTAAATCCAATACGGAGAGGGGGGTAGTTAAAAAGGTCTAACAATCCAATAAAAAGAAGGAAAGTACAACAAAGAGAAAGAGGAAAGAAAGAAAGTTAAAATGGTAGGGAAAACCCAAATATATGATTAATCATGATAAATGAAAACAGAGTAAACGGAGCTATTAAAATACAGAGATTCTCAGATTTTTTTAATCTAGCGTTTTACTGTTTATAAGATACATGTGTGAAATATAATTATGTGGGAAGTTTGAAACTGAGGGGTTAAAAGAAAGGGGGGGAGGGTGATGCCAGAAAAGTTCTACAGAGAGCAAGAAAAAGAGATGAAAGAAAAAAGAACAATGTTAAGATTAGACAAAAAAAGAAAAAATAATAAAACAACAGTGCTATGTAGTGATAGAAGGAAGATCACCAAAGACAAAACCCAAATGGTCAACATTTGGAAAAAATGTTGAGCCTACTGGTGATGATGGAAATGGAAATAAAAGCAATGATGTGCCACCTCTACAACCCTCATCCGATGGAGGAAAATTTAAATCGGATAATGGCAAGCACTGGTGGAGACGTGGGGTAAGGGCAGTCTCGGGCCCTGCTGGCAGGAGTGGAAGCAGAGGTTGAGCACAAATCCATGACTCCACAGGTCTGTTTCTATTCTGCGTCGTATAGAAACGCACAAGGGATGTTCCTTGGCCATCCTTTGCAATCGCAATAAGGAAGAAACAACCGAAATGTCCATCAGCAGTGGGATAGATAAGTAAATTCTGATATATTCAAACAAATGAAGCTTGAAGCAGTTAAAATGAATTAATTTAGTGTTACCTGTATGAAAATAGATACAGCTCAGATTTACATGTTGCACAAAAATAAGTTTGCAGAAGGATGTGCATATCTAATTTCAAATTTACATAAAACAAAGCAGTCCTGTATGCTGTTTTTATAGATACATACATGTGTGTGGCAAAATACACACATCTGAGAGGAAATGATAATCACCCAAAATGGGTGGTTCCCTTCTTAAGTGAGGAAGAGATGGACAGGAGCCGGGAGGAGACAAAGAAAGCCTGAACTCTGCCATGTTGAAATTTTAAAAAGCTGAAGCACACGTGGCAGAAATATTAGCATTTGCTAATGTTGTTCATTCTGGATAGTAGAGTAGTAGGCTCCTGTGATTATTTTGTGTGTATGCTTGAAATATTTCCTTCATTAAAAATGGCTTCTAGCTTACTGTGGCAGAGGAGAGACATACAATGCAGAGAAAAGTGCACTGTGTTTCATTACGGGTTTCTCGTAACTGGCATTTGGAGTTGAGATGGGAGAAATTTCTGCCAGTTGAGGGGAGCCCAACAGTGCATCCTGGAAGAGGAATCATAACGTTGCTTTCCTGCGTCCCCCTTAGAAACAGATCAGCCATCATGACCTCTTTTTCTGTTCCTTTGGCCTTTGTCAAGTCCTTTCCCATTTTTCACTAATAGTCTCTTTTTCACTTTTTACAGTCTGGTCATCATAAACCAGTAGTTCCCCAGGGCTTCCCAAATGGCTTATTATAATACTTTGAAAAAAAAAATCTAAAAAACAAAAGTGATGCCTTGTTTCTCAAGGAAAGAGAAAATAATGACTTCTGTTGTTATATAATGTGGATTTTTATGGAAACATTTGGATGATGTGGGGAGAGGACTGGTTGGTTGTGTGTGGAAACATTTGTATATATTGTGCTAAACTCCCATATCTTGCTCTCACTTTATCTGAGAGATTCCACTGTTGCAAATACTTAACAAACATGATCCACGACCTCTGTACGGAAGGCCCGTGCAGAAATAAGATAGACCATCGCTCTTCAATGTTCTAGGATCTAGTCCAGTCTTTTCCAAATAGTAAGTGCTTGCTGTCTGTGGCCGAAAAGGAACAAGAGTCTATGGGCTTTGCCCCAAATCACAGCAGCGACTTTGCTTTTTAGATGATCTCACTATAACATACACCACATTACTCTTGACATAAAATGAAATCATGGCACATTTTGAAAAGATTGGTTTCAGCATTTCTGACACATTCTTACAGGGTACTAGCAAATGACCCAGCAGTGTTTGTCTAGAAGCAGTTTACCAATCACTATGAAAGGCATCTAACTTGTCTTTAAAATACACATCTGCTCCATGTTGGAGCCAAAAGGAAAATTCTGACTCAGATCGCTTATTGAGCTGCCTCGGGCTGCCGGTCTGGGTTTGATAATGAATCTTGCATTCTCAGACGTTTTCTTCTTTTCCTCTGCAGAGAGAAGATGCATCAGTCTGCCATGTATGAGCTATGCCAGGGAATGCACCAAGTCAGCCTTCAGTTCGTTCGACTGCAGCTCACCTTTGAAGAATACTCCATCATGAAAGTTTTGCTGCTACTAAGCACAAGTAAATTGATGTCCGCCCTGACACCTTTTCCACTTTGTCAGATCACCTTCCCTGTAGGAGAGTTAGCCTATTTATACCATTCAGGTGGTTGGTACTGAAAAAAAAAAAAAAATGGGAGGAAGGTCTTGGCTTTTGAGGAACTAGGTTACTTGCAGAGTATGAAGTTTGGGGCATGTAGAAAGGACATATCCCTTCGTTCCTTCATCCACTCATACCCACTAAATGTTTAGTAAATGTCTGTTGTGTGGATGGTAGGACTGGGTAGTTCAGCAAACACAAAGGTTAATGAAGCACAGTCTCAAGTTCAGGGAGCTTATACTGTAAGACAAGTTCGAAGACATCTTTAATACGTGTGGAAAGTGATGATTTGGTTATTTACTATGATAGGAGTAAGGAGTGTATCATGATGGCTCAGAGACGAGAAAAGCACGTTCGGTTCTGGGGACCTGGGAAGGAAACATGGTACATACAGCTGATCTTGGTGGGCTTTGCTAGGGCCATATAGGGGACAGGAGGTGTGACACAGCAGCCCTGTCGGTGACCAATGTGAGTGTGGGCATGTGGGAAAGCATGTTTAGGCAATAGCATGTAGTTCCAGGGTTGAGGAAAGGGCTTGTTGTGTCTTTCACTTTTAAATTTTTATTTTATTGATGTATTCATTTAACTTTTCAAGGTACCTCAAGTTATGTGGGGAATAAGTTTGGGATGTAGATTGGACCAGAATATTCAGTGCCTAGTGAAGAAGTCTGGACCTTCTTAATGGCAGGCAGGGACGTGCAACACGGAAGGCTTTTGAGCAGTGGGACGACATGGTTAAAACTGTAGTTTATGGCTTTATGAGGACATACGTGGCAGTGGAATGGATTCAGGGGGAGGGAGATGGAGGAGAGAGACAGAGACAGATGCAGATCTTAGGCTGACTGAAAGCACAGAGACCTGCCGAGAAGCTGTCGAAATCATGATGATGGGTACCATGGTGGTCAGGAGCAAGTGGACTAGAGACATTGCAGACTTGGCCTTGGCACCCGCCTGCAAGGGGAAACAAAAGGGCTGTGGGTCAGAAGCAACACAGGTTTTGAGTACAGAGAAATGACTAGCGCAGTAGCGCTGTCATTAATAGGAATATGTAAATGTCAAAGAGTTGGAGCAGAATTTGTGGCATGTAAGATGAGTTCTGTTTTGGCTGGGTTCATTTATTGATGGCAACTCTATATCCTCATAGAACTGGCCAAAAGATGGGGAAAACTTGGGACTGGAACACAGAAGACAAGTTTGGGCATTGAGATGTAATCTGAAATCATTCTTGTAGAAAACCATAGCGTAAACTCCAATGGTGAGTGGGGTCCCATGGTACAGAAAGAAGAGGAAAGAGCCAGTGGAGCGATGAAAGGAGGGTGGCCGAGGCTGAAGGTGCAAAGACAGAACTGTCAGAGAAGTGGAGAAACTGGGAGAGTTTGTTGTATTGGAAGCCAGGGGCTGAGGGTTTCCAAAAGGGAAATGGCTAACGAATGGCATGGCTTCCACAGAGAACAGTTCAGAACACTGACAGAACGCCACCAGAGTTGACCACTGGTCGCCGGGCAGGTGCCAGAATGCCAGGGACTTGCAGATTGATGGGAAGCTTGTTTAGGCTTTTGGAACCAAGTATTGGAAAACAGAAGTTGATGGCATAAGGTGCCAGAGGAGATGAGAGAGGACCGATTAGCCTTGGCAAGGATGTCGGGCACTTGTTCCTCAGACAACGGCCCAGGCATTTTCAAACAGAGGGGAAAGAATTTGAGGACGCTCCCACCAGATGAGGGCTTAGACCCAGAATGGTGACAGGAGATGGTACAGAGAAGAAAGCTCTGAGCCAAGTGCTGTGGCCACTGAGGAACTGAGAAACGTTCCAGATGTCGAGAGCCAGCAAGGATGCCACGGCAGGTGGCGTGGGCTTCAGAGGAGACGGTGTCCACTGACGGCCTGGAAGCAAAAATGAGTATCTGGTCCATTCCCAGTGCTCGCCCTGCGCCCTGGATCAGAGGTGTGGGAGAAGGGCCGTCTTCAGGAGGGTGATTTGGAGGCATCGCTAGGCAAGGCGGTCAGGGTAGAACAGGGAAGAAGAAAGAGATGTTACTTCCCGCAGAGGAGGACTGTGTGTGCAGAGAGTGAGCCTGAATCAGGCAGTGACCAGAGCAGGAAGAGGGGACACAGTGGCAACGGGGTAATAATCATCCTGCTTCATGTTCTCTTAGCACCTCGCAATTTACGAAGTGTTTTTCCAGATATCATCAACTTTAATGCTTAAAATACCCCTGGGAGATGGCTAGCGACATTCTGAAGTTGACAAAACGGAGGTTCCTAAGTGTGATCTGTTCAGTATCCTGTGTGAGTTAGGATTCAAACCCCGAGGGCTTGGGACGTCACATCCAGTGCTGTTCCCGCTCTCCCAGGGTGGCGGGTGGCACAGGATGGCAGCAGGGGGCGCGGAGTGTCCAACAGGTAGAACCACAGACTCCGTGGCCGGCCTAGGGGGCAAACGGGCAGCCCTGGTAGGGAGGTGAGGCCAGAAGTTCACAGCTGTGTTTTGTTTGGCCAGCACAGGTCTTTTGGGTTGCTTTTGGCCTTTTGTGTTTTGTTTTATTTTCATTGAATTTGATTGCCTGGGGCAGGGCCTGTTCTCTCCAGTTTGCCACAGGCCCCACCATTCCTCACTAATTACGCCCAGCCCGGTCTCCTGCCACTTCTGCATTTGCAAGCGCTCCTCTGCAGGGTCACTCCCTGCTGTGCACGCTCCTCAAGGTTTCTGCTGTTCCTCCTTTATCCTTTCTGGGGCATCACTTTGGAACTATTGTCTTTAAATTCAGTGAAAGTGATTTCATTCCCCTTCCAAGCTAGATGATTAACCATTACTGGTGAGAAAAATGTAAATTAAAAAAATGTTAGATGGATGATAGCATTTAAAGGAAAACATTTTTTTTCTAAAAATGCTTATGATACTAATTCTTTATAAAGTCTGACTACTTGATTTTAATTGTTGTCTTATACTTTCACCCTTTTACATACTTTTCAGCCTATAATAGATTCTGAAATTATTTTGAAACTACCTGAATTAATTTATTAGCGTCCAAGGAACTCAGTACTATCAGTTCCGTTGTTTTGTTTTGTTTTGTTTTAATGCAGAAAAAGCAAAATAAAAAGGCAGGAAAACATTGGTAAAGAATTTTATGAATCATAGAAACGGCAGGCTTTTAGTTTCTTAGCTAAGCTATAACAGATTAGTTTCTTTTGCTAATCTGTGAGAGAGTTCATGAAAATGTTTTGTCTCATGTAGGAGTATTAAATTGCACACCTGATGTCCAGTAGTAAAGTTTTTTAGTAATGACATCAGGAGAATCTCATGTTCTTTATGCTTATGGAGGAAAACAGACAAACTTCCACCCCATTTGTCTCTTTGCTCTTCTCCAACCCATAGATTTTGGGTGATTTCCAGCAGTCCTGCTGCATTTAATAAGGAAATTCAGAAACTCTGGGCAGATCTCCAAAATTTAAGGTTTTGCTTAAGTTCTCTTTATTTGTGGGTTTGTTTCAACTTTAAAAAAAATCTGGGTGGGAAACTGGTACAATATATTTCAGTTACAGCAATAAAATATAGGTAATAGTACTTGACACAAGTTATAATCTTTGGAATTTTTGATAACACAGCTATAAGACCTATGGATTTGGTTGTTCTTAGCAGATGTACCAATTAGTATTGAAATTTAATAGTGAAATTGATTCACTCCATTCTGCTGCTAGTTAATTTTTTCATATATAGGATGACATCCAAATAAGTATCTATATTGGAAAACTAAATGTTTACTTTATACAATTTTGTAACTTAAAAAAAAGCTAATTTGGATGAGCAGTGTAAGATGTTATTTGCAAATTTTCAATTTGTTTTAGAAATTTTTAAGTTTAATGTTAAAATTTTGGTAGAAGATGAATCTATAGTGTTACCTTTAACATCCTGGTTATTATCATCCTTTTTTAAATATACTTTTAAAACCAGGTTTGAATTTTAAGGGAGACAAACTATTTGTTATATAATGGATAGCATTTAACACTTAATGTGAATGTCAGATATTTAAAACCACAATTAATATTGTGGCAGCCTCGGGAATTTATGCAGTTGCTATTAGGGATTTATTTTTTCCTCCACAAAAACAGACTTACATAAACCACAAATCTGCTTTGCGCAGTGGCGGTATCGTAGCCAATGAGGTTTATCCAAGGCCTGATTATTGCTAATTAAAAACTTTTCCCAATACCCTGCCATGACAACTTGCAATATAGTCAGCATTGGGAATTTTTGACAATCCCTACGGGGACTGAATTAAGAAAAATAATTAAGAAAAATAAACCACAAATGAAAAGCCTCAACAATTAAACTCAAGGAGATTATTAACATAATATTAGAAGTTAATTTGCAAGATAATCCATATCTTTTTATAGGATAGTAGGGTTTATTTGGAAACAGTGCTATGCCTGGCTCCCAGGGTTGTATATAACACCCAGAAACATCCTTAGTCATTCCAAAGTGCTGATGACAAAAGTAAATTATTTATACCAGTTATGAGAAATTAGCAAATATGATGTATTAATTAAGAAGTGAAGTTAAGAGCATTTTCAAACTCAGAATGTTAATATCACAAGATAAATTTCCACTGTCTTTATCTCTTAAAAATAAACTTCTAGGTAATTCTAGCTTTCAAAGTTAAAGTATAAGCATAACTATTTATTGGCCATAATGAAAAACAAACATATAAGTAGATTTTCAAAGGGAATTCCTTTGACCTTTAACCTCTGGCCCAACACCACCTCTGGAGCGCACACTCAGGTGTATCCTTAAAGCATCTTCCTGTGTCCTGAGAGAAGCAGGTCACAGAAGTACTTGATATGCTTCCAGGTCCTGAATGTCAAAATAGTCTAAGTGAAAAATATTCTTATTCAAATATAAAAGCTAGTCGCTACATAAAAGAAGAAAACATAATCCTTAATTTTCTTCTCATTGAAGGTAAAAATGTGAACATGGTTCATTCTCTTGGAAAGTTTTAAACTTTGCCTTGCATGTGCAGCCATGGTTGCTATCACACCATTGCAAACACAAGCCAGCGTGCAGACTCAATGAGGCTGTTCAAGGAGGTCACGTGACAGCACCTCCGTGGTCATGTGATCTTGGAGCATGCAGCATCTCCACTTCCTAGATGATTGCCAGTTTCCTGGAGTGTCTTTGATATTTGAACTTGACTGTGAAGATGTTGCTTTCTAATTCTAGCCCCAGCTTAGTTTGTCTGTGGGTCTCCAATTGTCCTGCAAAACCAATACAATTTCCTACCTCTGAGGTATTGGCAAATATTGGTGTCAAGATTAAGTGAATTAATATATGCAAAGTATATAATAATAGACATCTAGTAAATGGGAGTTATTTTCTTATGTATGCATGTGTACAGGTGTTTGCCAATAGGTAATTGCCATTAATGGAATTTCAGTACCTGACCTCCAAATCAGTATATGACCTTAACTGCTAAGATGCTAAGTTGTTTTCCATCCTGGGAATTTACTTGTCTGTATTCCTTAACACAGTTCCAAAGGATGGCCTCAAAAGCCAGGCTGCATTTGAAGAAATGAGGACAAATTACATCAAAGAACTGAGGAAGATGGTGACTAAGTGTCCCAACAATTCTGGGCAGAGCTGGCAGAGGTTCTACCAACTGACCAAGCTTCTGGACTCCATGCATGACGTGAGTAAAGCTCTATTAAGTTCCTATTAAGTGAAGGATAACAGCCACATGCACGCAGACACTGTTGACCACTCAAAACTAGAGAGCTCAGAGTTTTTGGGGCTTTAGAAAGAAAAGGGTGAATTATCGATTGGGGTTATTATCCAGTGAGACAGCAAGAGTTAAAATCTTATTAAGGGAATTTTCCTGCAAATAACCTTTGGAACAAACCTCATTCACAAGCAAAGGGTATGGCTCTGTGCCCTGGGGCAGGGAAGGCCCTCGGGCTTGCTACAGGTGTCAGATTGAGTTTCACATTTTTGCTTGCAATTTAGGAAATGTTTGGTTAATAAAAATGTTTGCTTTAACATTACATAAATAGTGTCCATCTTCTAAAACTGTTAATCTAATAACCCAATCTTTCAAAAAACATTATTAGTGGTTCAGGGCCAACTTGGATTGTCTCAATCTTTGCCAAATTTTGAATCCTATATTCATTATTCTTCATAGGAGTCACCTTTCTTGTCTTGGGTAAATACAGAAAGTGGATTCTGAGCTTTTTTTCCCCCCTCATTTAATCAATTATAGATGTAGTCGAGGTGTTTGTTAGCAGTTTCTACAAAATATTGATTTGGATAACTTGCTTTGTGTGGCATTTAAAATATGCTTCTTGTTTCACTGTGCAAGCAGCTTCTCTGGTTCTGGCTCCCGGAATGTTGTAGGCAGTCGTGCTAATTTCGGTCTTCATATTTGTGAGGTTTCCATGCTTGCTTTTGGAGAAGTTATTGCCCTCGTTCAGCCTATACAATTTGAATAATAAACTCTTTTCAAAAATATTTTTCTGTTGTTAATGAAAACCTTGACAGGCTCGAGGGCCAGTGTTAAAATAGTGTTACTGTTAATATAATGATTCATCCTTTAGAAGTCCCTTCGTGCCAGTGGAATGTTCTCTCTCTGGGATGCTAATGGCATAGGGTTGATTGATAAAAGAATGTCACTTTCTAATGTTTTACACTGAGACCTTGTGCGCATCATTGACCTTTGCTTTCTCTAAGCTTTTCCTATGACAAGAGTCAAACTCCTGCAAGGTGAATTTAGTGATAAATGGTTTCGCTAATTATCAGTGGCTTAAAGAGCATGGTTTAGTAAGAAAATATTAGAAAGGAGCTGATGGCAAGCAAGGCTTTGGGGAACACAGCAAATGATGCTCTCTGTGACTCACACAAAAGGAAATGCAGGAAGCTAGAGCAAAAGTTCTCCTACTCATTTTATGTTGAAACCACAAATCATCTGCATGAGATCACATAGCAGACTTACTTTCTTCTGTTGATTTTGTTGAAAGGTCTTTAGGAGAGAACAGAAAGGGGTTTGTGGTTCTTTCTTACATTCTCTTATTTGTACAAGTAGGTAGGACAAATGCAGTGTCAAAATTAGGATGTGACTGTCATCACCACACGTGATAACAGATGACACATTTCGAAGCAATTTCCTTGTAATGAGACTGACAACAGAAGTTAAAACCTGTTTTTCCACTGCCTTTCAGCATCTGCGTACCTTCAGCGGCATAGCACAATGGAAGCACTTAAGAGGCCACACCTAGTGGTCCCTGGGTCAAAACCTCCTCCGCTAGTTTGGTTTTTGTGCCAACATGGTGCTTGGCACAAGACAGGAATTCAGTGAATAGTTTTTGAATGGCTATATCATAAACACTGATTTTCTGCAAAATTTCCAAGAGCAAATTAGTGTCTTTTTGTTTCTTTTAATCAAGGTATAATTGATACAAATAAACTGAACAAATTTTAAGTGCACAAGTTGATAAGTTTTGACATATGTATACACCTATGAAATTATCACCACAATCAAGACAGCAAACATATCCATCACGCCCAAAGTTTCCTCCTGCCTTCCTTTCACCTTTCCTCCTGCGCCCCAATTACTCTCTACGTTGCTTTCTGTTCATAGAGATTAGTTTGCATTTTGCTTGCGTTTCATATAAATGGAATAATGCAGCATATAGTCTTTTTTCCTCTGGCTTCCGTCACTTAACATACTCATGTTGAATTTCATCCATGCTATTGCATCGATCACTAGTTTGCTGGGCTTTTTTTTTTTTTTTTTTTATTGCTGAGTAGAAGCCCATCGTATGGATAGTCCAGAATTCTTCTGTGCAGTCACCAATTGATGGGCATTTATGTTGTTTCCAGCTTGGTGGCTATTACAAATAAAGCTGTGCTAAACATTTATGTTTTAGTGCTAGTCTTTGTACAGACATCTACCTTCTTTTTTCTTTGGATGAATATCTTGTAGCAGAATGCATGGATACTATAGGAGGTGTATTTTCATTTTTAAGAAACTGCCAAACTGTTTTCCAAAATGGTTGGACAACTTCATATTCCCTTAAAAAGTATATGAGAGTTCAGATTGCTCCACATCTTTGCTGACACTTGGCACAGCTAGTCTTCTTAGTTTTAGCCATTTTAATAGCTGCATAGTAGTATCTCACTGTGGTTTTAATTTCCATTTTCCTAATGATTAATAAAGATGACCATCTTGTCATGTGCTCATTTACCATCTTTACGCCGTCTTGGGTGAAGTGTCTGTTCAGCTCTTTTGCTCCTTTCTCTTAATTAGATTGTTTGTTTTCTGATTATAGAATCTTTATATATTCTAGCTAGTTCTTTATGTATTCTACTATAAATCCTTTATCAGATACATGATTTGCAAGTATTTTCTTCCAATCTGTGGCAGATCTTTTCATTCTCTTAACAGTGTCTTTTTAAGACTAGGAGTTTTTTGTTTTTTATTTCAGCATATTATGGGGGTGCAAATGTTAAGGTTACATATATCGTCCATGCCCCCCTCCCCCTTGAGTCAGAGCTTCAAGTGTGACCATCCCCCAGATGTTGCACATCTCATTCATTATGTTTGTATATATCCGCCCCCCTCCCCCTCCCACCTGCCCAACACCCGATAAATGTTATTCCTATATGTCCACTTAGGTGTTGATCCATTAATAACAATTTTCTGGTGAGTACATGTGGTGCTGGTTTTTCCATTCTTGAGATACTTCACTTAGTAGAATGGGTTCCAGCTCTATCCAGGAAAATACAAGAGGTGCTGTGTCACCATTGTTTCTTACAGCTGAATAATAAGGAGCGGGAGTTTTTAATTTCAGTGAAGTCCAGTTGATGACTACTTCCTTTTAAGGTTCATGCTTTCAGTATTCTGAGAAGTCCTGTGTCACAAAGCCAGTGTCACAAAACTTCTCTCTGTTTTCTTACAGCATCACTGTCCTTCATTGATATCCATTGTCTTGGAAACCATTTTGTCATGTTTCTTTTCCCTGAGCATTTTTGGTTGTTATAAATGGAAGGGTAAATTCAGTTCATCTTACGGTGCACCTTAGCTTTTTGGGAACACTGGAATCATTTTAATTCTAAAACCTTTATTTTAAAGCGTCAAAAAATGTTTGATCTTAAAGGTGGCCTAACACAGAAGCATCTTGAATGCCCTATTTATGTTCTTATTCCAGACAGAACATTGAAAAATGCATTGTAAGTCTAGAGGGATCTTTCTAACATTCACACTTACTCAGACTTGAGACTGCCTACAGCTTTTTCATTAGAGTAAATTAGTGAATCAACATTTGCGGAATTTTCTTCAAGGGAACAAAGAGCCATACAGCCCACTGGCTTTAGACGTGGAGCCGAGTTCTGGTCACCTTGTGCAGAAGAGAGCATATGTTTCTAAGGGCCACACAACCAAGAACCCTTTGAATGTAGATCAAAGCTCTGCTTAAAGAGCACGCATGGCATGCCAGCTCTCAGGAGACATGTACACAGCTCTCACGACACACGTGAATGTCTTCCACATGGTGCGCATATGTGCTGGCAGAACAGTGCCAAGGTGGGTGAAAGGAAGATTCTCTGAAAGGACAGGTTGACAGTTAAGTGTTTAAATCGGCCAACAACTTTAATGAATCATTAATAAGCCTTCTGAACATCAATCTTGCCTCAAAAAATATTTCAAAGAAAACATCTGTGGTTTAAGGCTCCTAGGAGTAGATGTATTTTTGCATTGTAAATGTTTGGGTGTCATATGTAAAGCATATAGAATCCTTATTTTACTGGCAAGAATTGACAATAGTAATTTTTTAGCTATTACTAGGAGTAGCATCTACTTTCCTTTGGGTGAAAGAAGCATATATCTTATGGATTTATTGCTAACTTCTATTCATTCTTAGAGACCAAGGGCTGTTTATGCTGTGGTCAGTGTATAGCTGCGGTCCCCAACCCCAGGGCTGCAGACCGGTACCAGTCTGTGGCCTGTTAGGAACTGGGCCACACAGCAGGAGGTGAGTGAGCAAAGCTTCCATCTGTATTCACAGCCGCTCCCCATCACTCACATCACCGCCTGAGCTCCGCCTCCTGTCAGATCAGCAGGGCATTAGGTTCCCATAGGATCACAAACCCTACTGTAAACTGCGCATGCCAGGGATCTAGGTTGTGTTCCTTGTGAGAATCTAATGCCTGATGAGCTGAGGTGGAGCTGAGGCGGTGATGCTAGCGCTGGGGAGCAGCTGCAAACACAGATTATCGTTAGCAGAGACATTTAACTACACAGAGACCATAATAAATCAGTTGCTTACAGACTCACATCAAAACCCATCAGTGAGTGGCAAGTGACAATTAAGCTGCATCTGGCGGCAGGCTTTAAGTCAGAATCCTACACTTATTTTAGTCCACACATGGCCCGAGCATTATTTTATTTACCACTTCCGTCCGCGCCTCTTTCCCGCACCGCGCACTTGTCTCAGTCGCAGTTTTGGTAAGCCCACAAGCCGACCCCAGCAAAAATAAGTAGAAAACAAACGTCGCTAGAGAGCTTCTTTGAAAAGGGGGAAAGACCCAATGATGAGACAGCAGAAGACTCTAAGACTGCCAACAAAATGAAAGCTGCATTTAAAAGAAAATACCGTGAATCCTACTTAAATTACAAGTCATTGTAACAGGTGATTCACA